CGTTCGTCGCCGAACTTGATCCACACTCGAGTGCTATTTTTAGACACTCTTGACTTGTTCTGCCATATGAATTCCAGCTATTGTTCAGGCCCTATGGTTTTCGACTAAACCCTTCAAGCAGTCACGGGCTATCATTTTTCACAGATATTACGTACGAGACTCCCTTCATCAAGGCGATAAACCGCAGCAAGAAAACCGACGATCATCCCTCGGTTGCTTTTCCTACACTATTGACGAACGAACGGACCGTAGGAGTCCGCAGGTCGCCCACCGAATTGTGGCCGTAACTCCTAAATGGCAATCACACACCTTGGTTGCTACCATATTACTACTACCTACCTGGATGCATTCCATCGGTAAGCAAGCAGCTTCTCTGACGCTTTGATAGCTCAATTTCGTCAGAAATCTTTAAGCGCTCGATTCCGCCTTAAGCGAGGCTGACAACAGGGAGATCTGTTCAATAATGAGCCCTAGGACACAGCAAGAAGGCGAAGAATGGCTTTAGTTCTGCCGTGAAAACAAAGCCAAAACTTTACGAGGTAAATCCGGCAATCCTCGCAGCAATTATTCAGATGGATTCTAGACTGGCACTCGACCGAAACAGGTTGCTCTTCAACATTAACCCTTTCCTTCCACAACTTCCCCTAAGCCTCTGTCAACAATTCGTCATGGCTTTAATCTAACTACGAGTGCCCATGTTGGAACCAATGCGGTGGCTAGTACTCTTCCTTTCTGCCATGTGATCAGTAGGTAAGCTCGACAGCATTTTCGCATCTCATCGTATCTGAGAAGTCTCTAGTACTCATGGAGCAGATTCGATATATGGTGCGATGTTCAAGAGAGACTTTCATTTGAAGCGTAATGGTTTTCTAGCGACCAAGAAGGTTTGTCTCGATAAGACCTTTTAGATGGAGTATACCACGGTCAAGGAGCGATCAATCTAATTTCCAAACCTTCCAAACGAGAGATACTGAAAGGATCAGGCAAACTGCAGCTTCTTAGCTGGTCTATTTTACCCCTCATGACCAGGAATACGACATGAATGCAACATCTACCTTTCCACCGACAAGGTTACCGTTATTTCCAGACCAGGTCAAGGTATATTGTCCACCATTGCCATTGGTGTAGGTGGCCTGAGCAGCGCCATCCGTCCACCAGGAGTAGTAGTACCCATTGGAAGTACCAGTAGAGCTGGGGGTACCAGAGCGTTCTTGGAGAAGACCGAAGCCTTCAATATCCCGTTCTGTGACATTCGTTGGGACAGCGAGGGCGCCAAGAATGCTAGTGGCAGCGAGAACGAGGTGGGTGAAGGAGACCATTCTGATAGCGGTAACAGTAGCCTGAGGGTTCTGTTGGCTAACTAGCAGGACAAGAAAGTCTTGGCTTTTATAGATGGTGGAGGCAAAAACATCGGGTGTATATCTTCCATTGTCGTAACTGACTATACCCCCAGTCAGCAAAATGTCGGGAAGATGATTTCGTCTTGTGAAGGCAAATCAAGTTCTCGAGGTAGGTCACAATGCTCATTTAGGTTTCACAAGCCTCAGAAAGCAAATTGCGTGTTCGAAATTTACCCCACGAACCACCTACAGTCCCGTGTGGTAATTCAGTTCTGCGCAGCGGTGTCCAATGGCTGTCCAACTTGTAACGCCGCTGTGGGCCGCATCCAGCCACATCTCCAGGCTGATGGAGGCTTCGAAAACTGCCAGGTACGAATCACATGTGTCAAAGGTCGGAGGCCATTTGCTGCTAATTTGGGACAGCGTTGTAACCACCTCTCGAAGGCAGAGACATGTTTGCGATAATCGCCTGGGTTCAGCCTCCTTTTCTCCGGAAATACAACTAGTAATGTGGAGTAAAGACGCATGAAAATGGTAGAAGTGGAAGTACCAGCGTAGCCAGCTTCTACTAGTATGTCATTGGGCGCCGGAACTAGCTCCTCAGATTCGTGAAGCGTGCAGGGTCAGGCCGGCGTTCCACGAGCCACCTTCCACCTAACGACATTTGTTGAGGAAGCCCCGCACGAACTCCACGAATCTGGGGAATCATCCCATATACAACAACTTAAGAAAATTAATCACAAGCCAAGAGAAAGTACGATCTAAAAATAACCCTCGACCTTCCTATACCCTCGACTAAGCACGAGGCACCAGTAATTGTGACTTCTTTCCACGTTGGGCTGGGACTTCTGGATGCTACGTCGCATA